ATTCGGTAACTGCTTCTTTGTTTGCAGTCACTTGTGCCACTTCCTCCAGTGAGTTTTGATTCTGGGTTCTTTTGTTAGGTTTCCATTATAGTCTCCTTAGCCCCAGCTCCTGCCTCACCCTTCCCACCCCCTGTGATTCTGTTATGTGGCCTCACCATTTCCTGTACAGCCTTTCTCCCACTCCTGGTGTGAGCACAGTATTAGGGAGACACCAATTGCCCTAAATTGCTGGTTTGTCAGGGGTGCTAGTCTTGCTGGAACCTGCTGGCCATTAGGTCTGAAGGCTATCTGGACCTATTTTGTGTGGAACCCGTAGGATGCCAAGCCAGTACTGTTTTCCCTGTGTGGCTGGTGCAATGCTTTGAGTCAGAAGTGAGTCCTCTCCTGGTTAAGCGCCTGTGCAGCTCACTGTTGTTCCTTCAGCCTCACAGCCTTTTCATTAGGACACAAAAGGATGCCCAATGGTACTGATGGAGTTCTGAGCTTGCTGGCCACTAGGTCTGGTTGTCACCTGGGTTGTCCAATAGATCGCAGGAGACCACCAAACTGATCTCCCTCCCCACTTCAGACTAGAGGTGTAAGAACGACGCCCCAGTGATGTGAGCCACTCTCCTTCTCCCCAACTTCTGAAGACCCATCCCCCGCCAATGGAAGGCCAGCTTTGTGCAGGACGAACCGGTAGAATTGGCATGTACAAATACAAGGCTCTAACACGCCTAAATTCCCCTTCTTCATAATCTGGTTTTTCCTTTTCATTCTGTATGTTTAGGAGGCCTAGGTTTCCCCTCTGCCCCAAAGATCTTGATCTTGTTAGAGAGAGATAAGCAATAAGATTAAGCGTTCCATCTTTCCTCAAGAATTCAGGGAAGCAGGTTGCTTGCCGTTTGCCAGGATGGTCCTTGCATGCCATTCCTAGCAAGTGTGCCCAGGGAGATGCCTAGATTTCAGAGGAGAACATGTCCTCCAAGAAAAACCTGCATCTTCTCATCGGAGTGTCATCTTACTCATTAACTGAAAGTCCAGGTGTCATGATTGATCAAACAAAGAACAAGAAGGTGGTTAAGAGAGAAATTATTTTATTAATTTACACTACAGCCAACATCCACACTTTTAGGATGATGCATATTCTTTAAGAATACATGGACTGGGCCCTGTGTGGTGGCCTAGTGGTTAAAGTCCTCGCCTTGCATACACTGGGATCTCATATGGCTGCCAGTTCGTATCCTGGCTGTTCCACTTCCCATCAAGGTCCCTGCTTGTGGCCTGAAGAAGCTGCACAGGATGGCCCAAAGCCTTGCGACCTTGCACCCATGTGGGAGACCCTAAAGAAGCTCCAGGCTCCTGGCTTCAGATCAACTCAGCTCTGGCCATTGCAGCCACTTGGGGAGTGAACCAGAAGATAAAGATCTTTCTCACTGTCTCTCCTTCTCTGTATATCTGCATTTTCAATAAAAATAAATGCATCTTTTAAAAAAGAATACATAGACTTCTTTCTTAAGGGAATAAAAAAAAATTCTTATTAGAACATCAGATTAAAAGAGAGAAGGAGAGACAAGAGAAAGATCCTATAGCGTAGTGGGGTGACCAGAGTTAACAGTAATATATTAACTGTATAAAGAGCTGCAAAAGAGGAGCTTTGTGGTCTCTAAGCATCACAAATGGAAAAGGAAATATAAACAATAGCCACTGAGTTGATGAGTTTATGTTGTATGCAAGCTTTGAAACATTGCAGTATACAATATTACTTGTTAAAATTTTAATGAACATAAATTTGCTGCCTGTAATGTCTTTAAAAAGTTTAAATTTTTGCATCAAAGGACACTGTCATGAGGAAAATAATGAAAACATGTATTAGCAAGAATGTAGAAAAATGAGCACTCATAAATTCCTGAAAGGAAATATTCAGTCTATCTGAATATTTCATAGACAAAAAAATATAGTTTTGTAGTGGAAGCTAAGGTAGGGAGAAATGGAAATGACCATTTAATGATGGCTTTAGAGCTCTGGAATGAAAAAGCAGGGATGGATGCATATTGTGCATTACTAAAGGCCACTGAGTGGTGAATTCAGCACTAGGTATATTGTGCCCCAACAACAACAAAAAATGTTTAAAGATAAAGCAAGAACTAATCTTTACATAAAGTACAGAACAGAATAATAATGTATAATAAGTAGCAGAAGGAAAATGAAATAGTAAAAATTCCTATGCAATTAATCAAACTAAAGAAAGAGAAGGGATAAAATACAAAACAGATGTCTCAAATACAAAATTGTGATATTTAAAAATGCAATCTTAAATATATCACAGCATTTTAAGTATAATTACAGTTTGTGTGCAAATTTGCATCCACAGACTCAGCCAAATACAGATTGAAATAAAAACGATGTTTCTTGTTTGCATGTAACATGTAGCTAGGACTGTAAGAGCTAGTCCTGCAGAGAAACAAGACGGGAGAATGGGGTAAGGGCGTTTTTAAACAGATGGAGAGTCATTGGCCAGACTCAAGCAGAGAGGCCATATGTGTAATGGCTTAGTCTCGTTAATCAGATGTCATAGATGAACAGGCTGGATGTTTGCTTTTTCATCTCTAATTTTACTTGGTTTTCTCTCTTGCTTTTCTTGGCTAGTCTGGATAAAAGTTTGTGTTCTGCATCTTCTTTTAAAAAATGGCTTTTTTGTTGCAATTTGTAGTTTTTTTAGTTTCAGTCCTTTTAGTTTTGCTGTGAATTTTTAATCATTTCTTGATTTCTGTTCATTTCTTTTTAATAAGTCCCTGAGATGCACTAGATCATTTATTTGAGATATTTTGATTTTTAAATAAGCATCTGATGCTATAAATGTCCTTTCAATACTGCTTTTGATATATCTCATGGGTTTTGGTATTTTTGCTTTTGTTTTAATGCCTTTTAAAGTTTTTTTCTTATTATTAATTTCTTCACTGACTCGCAGGTCATATAGTAACATCGTTTTCTTCCACAAGGGTTTTGATTTTCTTTTTCATTTCTTCTGTGACACATTGGTCATACAAAGTAGCATGTTATTTAGCTGCCAGTTGCTGTAAATTTTCTATTTTCTTCCCGTTGTTGATTTTGTGTTTTTGCTTTTCATTTAGGGGCATGTATAGTAACTACATTGTCGAGACTGTGAAGATACGTGTGGTGTGCATCTCTGCTTCCAAATCATAGATGGACTTCCAATGAAACTACGAAATGCATCTTGACAACAGGATGCGGGACTGTCTGCCATTGTCTATGCCTACAACGTCGAGATACGATTAAATAGCAGCATGATGGACTTAGGACTGTTTATGAAGGAGTAAAATATTGTAATGCTATGGGGAAAATTAGTGTTGAGGAGGGAATGTGGGGAGGGGGTAAGGGAAATCCCAGAGCTTATGGAACTGCATCACAAAGTAACTTTTAAAAAGAGTTGAACCTATGTTAAACACATAGATATTATTTTATTTGTTATTATTCCTTTAACAATGTAATATACCAGCTGTTTACATTGAATTTACATGATATGGGCTTTAGAATAGTCTAGGGTTGATTTAAAGTATTCTGGATGATGTATATGTATTAAACACAAACATGGCACTGTTTATATCCCAGCAACTTGAGCACCTGCAGCTTTTGAAGCCTTCAATTCCTCAAACAAACCACCTGCAGAAATCAAAGTGCAAGTACAGATCAAAATTTCAAAAAAAAAAAACTTTCAGTGCTTGTCAATCGAACATTCAACTTTTCACTGTTTGTAGTGTTTTCATCATATAACGTGTACATTGTATAAATACAAACATACATGAAGTAAGCTGATAGGAAAGGAATCTGGCAGGTCGATATTAGTAGAAAGAATAAATGAAGCATTCAAGTCGGGACCATCAAGAGATCAGAAGCCATTTCCTAATCTGAACCCATGAAGTGCCTCTGGATGAATAGCCAACAGCTCTCTGCTGTGGCAGGGACTTGTTTGCAGGATTTGCCAGTTTTCTTGGTGTGATTATTCCCATTGTAGCCATTTGCAAGCTGCTGATATGATGCCATTGGTTGTGGAGTTGAGAAGAATGTGACAATTAGATTGAAACTGATGCAAGCTAGCTTCAGCATTCTGTTATGCAGGCTAGTCAGTCCACCAGGAACAGATCGTAATGCTGAGTCTATGTGTCCTCAACGACATGCTGCTTGAGACATATCAGGTAAAAATGGACATATATGAAAGGAGAAAAAGATGAATCCACAATAATGGTATGTGTTTGCCTACGATTCTGCATATAAGAGGTATAAATTAATAAAGATTGACACCTGAGATATTCATCAATATAAATAGCAAAGTTGGTTTCATAGACCTGTTAAGAGCACTGTACATGCATTATATATATACATATACATACATACATATGTATGTATGTATTATTTTAAATGTGTATGGGGTTATCTACCATGTAAGAGAGGAATATATACATGTATTATTTTAAATCTGTATGGGGTTATCAACCATGTAAATATTTTAGGAATCATATCCCTCAGTACTCATATCTCAAATAAGATTTAGTGATAGCCACTTAAAGAAGCTAGCCCTATTGACAAATATTTCAAAGGCCCGTTTGATATCTCTGTTCCTCAGGCTGTAGATGAAAGGGTTCAGCATGGGAGTGACTACTGTATAAATGACAGAAACACCTATGTCCTTGTCACTGGGGTTCTGTGACAGAGAGAAAAAATAGACACCTGCAAGTGCCCCGTAGTATAAAGACACCACGAAAAGGTGAGAGCCACAGGTAGAAAAGGTTTTCAAGACCCTCTTGGTGGAGGGGACCCTCAGAACAGTGGTCCCAATACAAATATAAGAGCCTAAGATGCTACTAAAAGGCAGGAGAAAAAGCATTCCACCCTCAGTGAAGATGATCAGCTCACTAAGGGAGACAGCTGAGCAGCTCCGCTTCAGGAGGGCAGTGAGCTCACAGAAGAAGTGGGGAATGGGAATGTCATCACAGAAGGACAGCTGGGCCAGGAGGACAGTGTGTAACAGGGCATGAGCTCCAGAGAAAAGCCAGGACACAGCTACCAAGGAGACACACAGCTTCTCCCTCATGAGAGTGACATAGTGCAGTGGGCGACAGATAGCCACATATCTGTCATATGCCATCACCGCAAGGAGGAAATTGTCAGGACAGCCAAAAAGTATGAAAAAATACATCTGTGTTATGCATCCTGCGTAGGGGATGGATCGATCCTGAGTCTGCATGTTCATTAACGTCTTCGGGACAGTGACAGAAGAGAAGGCGATGTCAGAGAAGGCCAAGTGGCTGAGGAAGAAGTACATGGGGGTGTGGAGGCGCGAGTCCAGCCTGATGAGCAGGACGATGAGCAGGTTCCCCAGCACCGTGGTCAGATACATGCCCAGGAACAGAGCAAAGAACACGCCCTGCTGCTCTGGGTCAATTGGGAGCCCCAGCAGAAGGAAGCTGGACACCTTGCTCTGGTTCACCCACCTCATGCTGTTTTTTTTTTTCTCTGCTAGGAATTAAGAACAATGGAAAATGTCAGCAAGCATAACCTTAGCAATGTCAGAATACTGCATGTGAGACCAACTTGTTGCTGCAGCTATTAGTCTGATTCTCAGTCTTGACACACGAATCACAGGTTTGTCCTATTCTAGCTCCAACAATAATCAAACTTCACATTAGTTTCTTACCAAATGAGCAAAAGGAGATTAATTGTTCGTTTAACACATATTTACCTAAGAGCATCCTGTCTCAGTCACTACACTAATGGATGAACAAGTGAATGTGTACAAATGGACAAGAAACTCAAAAGCTCTGTGGGGAAGGAATTTATATCTGTAGATCAAGAAAGATTTGGACTTTGCTAATTCACTTTGATTTACCATGAAACCACCTCCAGGAAAATGTATCATACCTTATTTGTTAAGCTACTAAGTATTATTCATTTGCTTTATCTTGTACCATGTAACTCGGTTTGTCTTAGCCAAGATACAAAAAGAAACTGCTACATAATCGAGTTCATATGAAACAGTGAAAAAAAGACCAACTACACAAAAATAGAGAAGGAAATGTTGGTTGTGAGTCATGCCCTTTAAAAGTCATGCGAAACTCTCTAAGTTGCAACAGAATTACGAAAGGTTCGTCTGTTATACAGTGCAAGTCCCGGGTCCTTCCTGTTTGGAATCACTTGAAATTCCCATTTACCAAAAGTGTGTCCAATCAGGGCATCCAAACCAACAAGTGATGGTCCCAGGCACTCTTATGCCCTCAATTTGTCCTAGGAAATATTGCTCTATCCATTTTAACAATGACAAAGCAAAAAAATATATACAATATTTAAATGTATAGTTAAGAGTGACACGTGGAATTACCTTATATCTACCTACCCAGAATCCTTGTGTGGTTTTGTTTGTTTGTTTTGTTTTGTTTTTTTAATGTTCCAAACAGATATCATGTCTCCTTGGAGAGAATAGCCAAAGAAGCCACAGTACGTTTTCCATCTTTGGTCAAAATGTCCTCAGTCACCTGCTCGGAAAAACGATTGCTATTTATACATCATATAACATACAAAGCACTTTCACTTTCTTAAGATTCTCTCAGCACTCTAAATATATACTTAGAACCTGTTAGATACACAAGGTAAATAGATATTCCATTTCAGAGATGTGAACAAACACACCAGTGAGATACATGACTAAGTCAAGTTCATTCAGTTGTTTGACAGTGATTGCAGATTCAGTATTTCCTTGGCTGGGAAACTGTATTCGAGTTCAGAATTATAAACACGAATTCTTAGAGAAGAAACAAAGATGGGAGATTTGATAAGCAGAGAAGATTTTTTTAACTACTTCATACACTCTTTGAAATTCTCTCACGTGTGTTTGGGAGCGTCTGGCTGGCCTCTAGGGACTCATATATTCCTTATCTGTCTTTCCATAGCAGTGTTACTTCTGCCTTCTGTGCATTTTCACCACTGAGCAGTTCTTACACATCACGCAAGATCTTGGTGTCCGTGGTAGGTCAGCTAATTAGTTCTCTCTCTAGTCTTTGTATATATCTGTAAACTTGGAAAGTGACCTGAGCTCTCTGAGGTTCATATTCCTCAACTGGAATGGAGAAGTAACCATTCCCCCTTTCTATTGGTATTTTGAGCGATAAAGGAGTAAAATGTTCAGAAATCATTCAGACTCATGTAGAAGCAGAGGAGCAAGTGCCTCCCAGGGACCTCGAGTTTCCTCAGGGGCATGGGTTATCTCAGATCATGACTACACGGAAAGCAATGACTGGCCTTCTGCAGAGTCTGGCTGTTGGCTGATGTGAACCAAAGGCAACTAGGAACTTTGCTGCAGCTTGAGCCTTGCATGGATGAGGAAGTAAGGCCATGAGATGTGAAAAAGCAAATCAAGCCAGGGTTTGGAGGGAACGTTTGAGTGAGCATCTGTCTGCTTCCTTTCTTTCTTAGATAATGGTAGAAGGAGCCATAGCACTAACACCGGATTTAAGGCAAGATAACAAAAACCTATTCTTTTTTCTTTACCAAGAACCATATGTCAGCCATGGTGCTGATGAGTTCGTATGCATTGGCTCATGATTTCTCAAACTGCTGTTATAAGGGAGGAGGAATGGTTACCGCTCCTTTACTAATGAGGCCTGGACCTCAGAGAGCTGGGGTCACTTCCCAAGGCCACAGAAGAAGACAAGGACAAGATTGAGGATTAGGAAACTTCCTACCAAGATTTTACACGATAGATTAAGAGCTACCCAGTGGTGGCAATGCGCATGAACTTGCCTGCCTCACACAGAAGCACAGATGAAAGACATTTAAGGAATATCTGAGCTCATAGTGGCCAACCATCCAAAACAAATACAAGAGTACTTCCAAAAACTCATTAAAATGAACTATCAAATTTTTCTACAATATGCGCTTTTTATCAGCTTCTTGAAGACATCTTCTAAGCATGAATTTAAAAAGAAAATTATAACTGGCTGGCATAGTGTTATAATGGTTAAACTGCTTCTTGTGCTGCCAGTTTCTGTAGAGGGTACAATTTGGATCCCAACTGTTGCACTTTCAATCCAGCACCCTGCTAATGGTCTGGGAAAAGCAGAGAAGGATGGCCTAGGTTCTTAGGCCTCAACATTCACCTGGAAACCAGGATGACACTCTCTACCTCAATGAGACCAAGCTCCAGCAGGTGCAGGCTTCTAGGGAAGGACTCAGCGTAAGGAAAACCTCTCACTCCCACCCCCTCTCTTCTTTCTCCCTCTCTCTCTCTCTCTCCCCATTTCTCCTCCCTTTCTGTAGATCTTTTACATAAATAAATGAGTATTTTAAAATGCTAGACATGTTTCATCAAAATAAGCTTATAATTCAATTCCATTTTTCATTAACTTTTTGAAATACGTTACACACACGTACACACACTTAAATTATTTGTGGTTTTGTAACATCTGTGATCTAAGTGATCTTAAAGGACAGTGACTGTGGCTAAATTATCTGTAGAATTATTTAAACACACACACATAATTCACAAGATCTGTTATACCAAACCAAATCACAAGAAAATCTTTCTGTAAAATAATATACACAATCAGCAACACATGAGTCATATTTTAGCAAAACACGGACACTGCAGACTCACACCATCAAAAACACACTAAAAGCAAAAAAGCAAAGTCAAACATGTCACACACCAAAAAAGTTTAAAAGCACCAACTCTACACTCATGATAACACCCACACATGCTCACTGTAGAATGAGTTTTGGTACCCACTGACCCATACCTGACTAGGTGAAGGTAGTCAGTCAATAAGACACTCGAGCCCATGTGACACAAGAACCAGAGCACAACTCACAATGAAACAAGCAGTAGGCGCACCCACTTTGCTTTCTCAAACACATGTAATGACATACCAAAACGAACAGGTAACACATATGATCACACCTATACTGTGGAGCACAGGCTGCAGGACTTTCCCAGATGTTGTCCTGAGTATATTCTGAAAACGTCTGCTCCAGATTCTGAATGCATCTCTTCCTTCAGACTCTGCGAGCTCATTTACTTACATTGAGGATGTCTACCCAGAAACCAAACTGTGGGAGCTACAGGAGAGTGGAGCAAATGTTTGAGATGAAAGGATCTAATTAGAAGATCCCAGAACACAAAAACAAGTGCTTTATATTTGCTTAATGCAAGTCTTTTTAGTTTAATGCTACTACTCTAGAGAGAAAAAAAAATCAGGCAGTGGATCAATCACATTTCAGAGCGAAAGAGAACTCACCAAAAAAAAAAAAAAAAAGCCAACTCATCAAAAAAAAAGATACATATTTCTCCATTGCACAAGCAAAGAAACATTGCACAAAATTCATATATAATGTCTGTGGGGGCTCAGATACACACCTTGTCTACCTAGCATTCCCAGCTTAGTCTGATTCTGCCAGTGTGTGATGAGCTCAGGCACAAACAGCTTTCTCAGTCTTCAGTTTCTACTACGGATACAAGAAACAAAAGAGTAATGAATAAGCCTTGTGAGTCAAGGACCTCCTGATATCTATGTTTGTATCGGAATCCAGAGCAATAGACAAGAGGATACCATTTTACAAACCACAGAAGGACTTAGGAGAAGTCTTTAAGCTTCTGGTTATGGAAAGAATCAAATTTCCTCCAATTTCTACCAGACCTTGCGGAAAAGCCTGTGCAGGAGGTGGAAGGACTTAACGGTGCCCTAGATACCAGGGACACTCTGGGATCACCTATTATTGCCTGTATTTTTAGCTAAGCAAGAGTGGATAAGTAATCCCCAAGCAGTGGTGTAGCCAAAGTAGCGATCAGCCTCTCCCAACGGCGTGTTATGATCCAGGTAGAGAAAGTCTGCATTCTGTAAACCCTCACCACCTGCATTTGCTATTTGCTGTGACGAGAGCAAGGATACAGCTTATCTCAACATTATTTTGATTTCTTCTCTCCACTGAGGGAGACCACATGATATGAGGAAGGGCCTTTTCCAGGCTACGGGCTCAGGATTCACAGAAGTGGTTCTGAGCTATTCTGCTTATTAATTTTTGACCTTGAGCAAGCAATCACTCAATCTCATATGAAAGAAAAATCCAGGATCAGATAGCTTTACGTTCAAATTTTACAAAATATCCGAAATTAACTAACCGCAATACTATTCAAACTATTACAAAAACATTGAGAAGATAGGACCCTGTCAAACTTTTTATGAGGCCAGAATAACTCTGATCCCCAAACCACAGGCACAATAGAAAAAAAAAAAAAGCTACAGACCAATACTCCTGAGAGGCAAAGATGCAAAACAACAAACAGAATGCAAAATTACACCAAAAATATCATCACAACCAAGTGGAGATTATCCCGTGGCTGCAAGGGCGTTTCAACAATTGCAAATCAATAAATGTCATAAGTCACATAACAATAAGGAACAGAAAACTATTCAGAAGAAGTATTTGATACAATTCAACACTCTTTCCTTACAAAAATTCAAAAATTAGGTATAGAAGGATCATACCTCAAGATTATGAAGGATTTGACTATAATGTAATTTTAAAATATGCTATCTCAAAAAGTAAAAATGAAGGAAGGAATAAATAAAAAAGTAAAAAAGGAATGAAAGGAAGAGAGAGACAAAGAAAGAAAGAAGAAGAAGAAATGGGGGAAGGGAGGGAGGAAAGGAAGGAAGAAGGGGAAAATAGTCATTTACGATACTGACATGAGAATTGTTGAGAATTCTGTAGTATAATCATCATACATTAGCTGTGACCTTGAGCATCCAAGGTAGCACTAAATTAATTTTTTAATTTATAAAGGAAATATACATTTATGTACACACATATATATGAATATATATGAATATATATGCATGCATATATATACATATATAATATATACATATATATGAATATATCAAACCAACACCAATATCATACCAAATGAGGAAAAGCTGAGATCATTTCGCTTCAGATCTGCAGCAGGACAAACATGTCTAATGTCACCGCTCTGAATAACATAATGTTTGAAATATTAGGAAGAGCAATTAGGGAGAGAAAGAAAGAAAATCAATCTGAAAAGGAGGAAGTAGAATTGTTAATGTTTCGAAAATGACATGATTTAGCCCATAGAAAGTCCTACAGAATCCACCAAAAAAGCTGTTAGAACTGCTAAAGATGGACCCAGTGCAATAGCCTCATGGCTAAAGCCTTACTTTGCATGTGCCAAGATCTTGTACGGGTGCTGGTTCATGTCCCAGCTGCTCCACTTCTGATGCAGCTCCCTGCCTGTGACATGGGAAAGCAGTAGAGCATGACCCAAGCCTTGGGACCCTGAACCCACGTGGGAGATCTGAAAGAAATTTCTGGCTCCTGGCTTTGCATAGGTTCAGCTCCTGCCATTGTAGCCACTTGGAGAATAAGCTAGTGGACAGACGATCTTTCTGTCTCTCCTTCTCTCTGTAAATCTGCCTTTCCAATAAAAATTATTAAAGCTTTTGAAGAAGAAAGAAGAAGAGGAAGAGAACTGATAAATAAATTCAGTGAAGTCATAAACCACAAAAAACAACATTACAGAAAACATTAGCATTTTTATGTAATTATAATGATATTGCTGAAAGTTAAAATCAAGAAAACAGTATCATTAATAATGGCTTCAAAAAAGCTCAATTATTCAAGAATAAATTTAACCAGAAACATGAAATATCTCTACAATGAAAGTTGATCAAAAATACTAATGGAGGAAGCAATCAGGATGTAAGACCGCTGAAGTGAGAACCCACACCAGCCTCAACTAAAGAAAGATACTACAAAGGAAGGACTACACCTCCAGGAGACTCACGGACAGAACTAGTCAGTGTGGAACTGACTGAACTGGGCAGAGGTTTCACGGAAAACTGAGGAAAGAAGATACCTGTTGGCTGTGGCTGGCCACACGGCCCAGCCAGCTGTTGGCAGGGAACTTCCATCTCCCCAAGTCAAGTAGCCATCTACATCACACACAGAGCCACAGCTCTTGGTGACACTAACCATAGTGGGACAGGCTTATCAGTAGGCCACACAAGTGTAACTGACACCAAACTGAGGGTTGAAAATGCACAATCAAGGAAGCCCTTATCCACCTTT